TCGAGGCTGGTGGGCTGTTTTCCAACATGGCCGACTTTCGTGGGTGCCGCCATTTTGAATTCTTAATTCAGCTCCTGATTGGCTGAAATTTGTGGCGGCCATCTTGGATTTGGAAAACAATAGCATCCATTGTTCTTAATTCGGCTCCTAATTGGCTGAAAATAAATAGCGCTATATTGGATGTGGAAAACAATAGCGTCCATTGTTCTCCAAACAATAACCTATTGTCTTTCTTGGCACCTGATTGGTTACCGCACATATGAGCGACTATTACTACTAATTTGGATGCATGCATCCACTAAATCTATAAATCTAAGATGGCATGAAAACTGAAATGACAAGGGGAAACGCGCCACTTACCTTTGCCAACCAATCTAGTTATGAGAGTTTCGTTTAAAAGTGAGGCATGATCATAGTTCGCAAAGTTGCACTTTAAGTTTTGGTTGTTATGTCATATACCATGTGGAGAGCCTTTTAAATCAAGTGTACGATGTCCCTTTAATCAGTGTAACGCGCATTTAACTCACGTTCAATCTCTTTCTTATTGCAGGAAGATCTTTCTTGTCACAATGGGCGTTACTGAATGTCCCAACAAAATTTCGCCACGTTTATGTCTATAGGGACACACTTGTAAACAGACCATTCGAGGCGTAGTTTTTAGGAATTCATAAGATTTTTCATTAACCAAATCTGTCTATCGCCCACACTTAACTCAGTCATATGTTTCTGTTGTTGTTAATCTCAGTCATGTGCCTCTCTTTGTAGGTATGTGAGCTGTTAAAGGACTCTCAATTTCTCAATCCCAACTCATCTGACGCACAGGTTGGTATTTTAACATTTTTATTGCGCATTGTTAGTGAACAGGTAGTTTTTCCACGGTTAACCAGTCAGAGGATCGTTCAGTGTATTATAATGTTATCATTGCTGCCTCAGACTAGCCTCATTCGCTTCTCGCACAAAGCCGCTCTTTCATTTTTACGCTGGCCATTGCTAAGGTATCATGGTAGGTGGATTTTTACGATAGATGCAAAAAATCTCTTTTTTTGCGGTTCAAATTGAGACGACTGAGATAAATATTTTGCAAAAAGAATGGAGAAAAAAGCTTTTTTACTTGTTAAGATAAAGAGAAAAACTATTTTTGAATCTCATTAACTTCTTACGGCGCGTTGACACCGCTAATTAAGATTTACCGCCAGTTGTCACAGGTAATGGGAATTGCCGTGTGGTATTTCATTTGTGCACGCGAACTGTTCTCGATCTGGTTGTTTCATCGTAAGTTAGCTTTCGTTCTTGTCAAATTTTATTTACGTCAGGACGAAAACGCAAGAAAACTTCTTGCCCATTTTCGTCTTCAAAGAAGCCGAAGACGCGAAAATCTGGTGGAACCCACAGGTTCAGCATCGAACAAGATCTTTGGCTTTGAGCGACCGTGGGTCGCACTCTAACCAAGAAGAATGGTTGAAGGAACTCAAGTGCACTAGTCCCGCCAATGAAGCTAAAGGACAAAATACAACAAGTGCTAGCCGCACGAAATTGCTGGAGAACAGACGCGATTCCGAAACTTCCACAACGAGAGAGTCAGGCGCAGATGTAGATGTAGACAATGTAGACCTCGAGATTTCCTTTTTTCAGCATTTCGAGGCATGGTTTCAAAAAATGTCTGAAGAACGAAGAAGCCTAAACTCAAGCAACATAATACCAATGCCGCCGACGAAATCTTGTAAGTAAAAGAACTCACGGCAGTTTAAATACAAACCTGTATAAAGCTCTTGATAGTTTGTCGGTTCCTCTGGGTCGGTTCTCGGACGATTTAACTGCGACGGGTTTTCCGCGCCAGAATTGTAGACGTCTGTTTATTTCAAGTTGTCATGAGCCATTGTTGTGGTAAACTGACCCATGCTGACATCTGTCAGTGCGTAGGGGATTTTTAACACCTAATCATACCAATCTCATAAAAAGTTTTTCGTCTTTTTCGCGATAAAATAAAACTGCATATAAGGATGAACATTTTTATTTCGTTTACACGCGTCTTCCAAAGGAATTGGCTGAAAATCGGCAGGTATGTTCCAGGATATCTCCTTCGAAAAAGGGTGTCAGGCTTTGTATAATTTCGCTTCCGTTTCAAAGTTATGGCCTCTTTAGTGGAAGAAAACGTCCGCATTGAAAATATCAAACTTGAGAGGGGGTAGAAAAAAAAACCAAGCCACGGTTGTGTCTTCACTATGACAATTTTGGCTAGATAAGGTCGGAAAAGTCCGGAAATGCAGTGAAAACAGTTTGTCTTTAGTTTAGCGAGGTAAAAATGCATGCTGTTTTCACCAGAAAAAACAAGGGGCGTCGATAAAACCAGGAACGTGGAACATTCCGGAACATCGAACAATTATAATAATTATGAGAAAAGTATGCAAAATTAAATCTTCAAAACTAAAATAAACAAAAATAAACTGGTATCAGCTCAAAATATGAAAAATACTATTGGGGATGGGGGAGTCGGTTGAGGAAGGCAGGGAACGTTGGGTATTCATTCAACTGACTATAATGAGTGCAGGCTCCTCTTCTTTCCCGCCAATTGCGTCACGTCGCTTTACAGCTCTCTGTTTTTCAACACAAACATGGACGATTCGGACGGTGAATGCCAGGTAATTAATTGCTTCTCCTTTTTTGATCCCGATTTCTTCAACACCTGAGGTGTTCGTCTGAGCATCATGCAGTTGCTTGTTAAGTCATTAGCCATAGTTTTGTCACTGTTCCGTCTTCATGTTGTTGTTTATCATCCCCAGTTTTCGCGCTGCTCCGCTACGACGCGTGACACTATGACCCACTAAACCTTTCCGGAAGCCCGAGTAACAAGCAGGTTATTATTAACTTGTAGTAATCAAAGATTAGAGCAGCGCGTTCACGCGCGTACTTCGCATGTCTGGTCTACTTTGGTAGTGTTTGAATGGCTGGATAGAAAACTGTTTGATCGAATGTCAGCGATCTGCACGTGAGGTTGAACTAACGATGAATAGATTATAGTCTGCGGTGAAAGTATTTTTAATTAATTAAGTATTAACTTGTACTGAACAAAACATTTTCCAGGAAATGCATTTGAACTGTTGACGACACTAAGAATTCAATTTCAGATCGCCAACACTTGTAACAAATATTTCTTGAGGCAACAAAGTTTTGACCAGCGACCCTGCAAGACGGCGCGCGCGTCGCCAAATGTTTTTAAATTTTGTGTTTGTATTTGTTTACACTGTCATCAGAGCTCGAGCAGTCCGAGCTAGTTTAGACAAGAAACTCAATGCTGAAGAGTTTCTATTTCTATCTCATCGAGAAACTATTTCTTCATAAGAAATAGTGTATACGCATATCTTTGTATTGACGTAATGAATTGAATAAAGAAATCACACTTGTGTACCCATATTTTAAGATCTGAATTAAGAAGTTCGAACGTCACCACCTTGGTTTTCTGTGAAGAACGAAATCTGGGAATAATGGACAGTCACGTGATTAAACTGACGGCGAACGACTAGAAGGAATGGATTACACTTCTTAGTTGTTAGCCTTCACTCATTGCAGTCACTTTCATTTTTCTTTCTTTTTCCTTTTTGAGTTATTTTTGAGTTATTTTTTTGTAAAAAAAATACCTCTTAGTCGGCGCGTCGGGTATATTATGGACGGGTCAAGGGGTGAGTGAGTGAG